TGCAGAAATGACTTCGGTAGCCGAGATCGGGGAGTATAAACCTGGATTGTCAGCTTTAGGGAGGTCCCCAAACTCCCCCAAGCCTTTGTACGTTCCCACTTGTCCCCAAAGTTTATCGTAGCAGATGCCGATTTCTCTCAATGGAACTCTACAGGCGGACTTCTTCCCCTGTAGAAATTCCTTGATCACTAGGGGTCTATCAGCAGCGTAACGCTTTTGTGTATAATTCCAGGAAGAGGAAGAGCCCACGGGACTTCCTCTAGCTCGACTCTTATTTAACCTTTTAGTCCATATCCCAAGTCTCCATTTCCTTCGTAGAAGTAGCACCAAGGCACGTCCTTCATTGTGCACTTCTCTCGCAAATAATTTCGATAAGCCCAGAGCTATTCTGATCTTCAATGCCATCTTGTTTCTCGGTTGTTTAACCGGTTTCAGAGCACCCAGCATGTCCATTTTAAAGGTCCCCAAGGTTGCCACTCTTGGTTCCCCCCATCTTCCATAATTCTGCTCCAGGGAGGCACCATACGCTAGTGAATGTGTTAGACGGGTATGTTGGGAAAGACCCGGCAAGAAAGAGAAGATTTTCTCCAGTTTGGGAGCACTTTGAGCAGATCTCACCTAATAAGGTAAGGCATATCAATAATTCTGTAATAGATTACACAAATATGACAACACATAATTTCTCTTGCTCACTTTTCTCTGTTATAAATACGTTTGAATAATAGTTTTTTCAATTGCAGGTGAAGTGTCTGTTATGCTCCAAACAACTGGGTTATAATAATAACACCTCAGCTATGCTAAGTCACTATCGTGCCTTGCATAGCAATGTGGATTCCAACCCAGGTGAGCCTGTCTCGGGTAGGCCATTTTATATCATGATAATAATTGATGATTGTCCTACAATTACACTAAATATATTTTATTTGAATGTATTTGTTCATTAGATACATTTCTAACCCTAATGTGCATTTTCTTTCAGCTGAGACGGTTGACTTGACTGAGCGTTGGTGGATATGGTGATTGAGGATTCCCAGCCCTTTTCCATTGTGGAGGGAACTGGCTTCCGAAAGCTTGTGAAAGCTTTGGCACCATCTTATGTTCTTCCCACGCGGCAGGTATTTATGTGAACTATTAACAATTTATTATCCTCAGATCCACTATTTCAAGACTTTACTTTTTTCAGACTTTGAAAGCCATGGTGGAGAAGAAATACAGGGAAGCCAAAGACAAGGCCAAAGTGGTGGCTGTTAGTTTAACAGCAGACATGTGGACCTCCATCAACACTGATGTTGTTAGTTTAACAGCAGACATGTGGACCTCCATCAACACTGATGCTGTTAGTTTAACAGCAGACATGTGGACCTCCATCAACACTGATGTTGTTAGTTTAACAGCAGACATGTGGACCTCCATCAACACTGATGCTGTTAGTTTAACAGCAGACATGTGGACCTCCATCAACACTGATGTTGTTAGTTTAACAGCAGACATGTGGACCTCCATCAACACTGATGCCTATCTTGCAGTGACTGGTCATTTTATTGACGAGAGCACTTCTCTGCAGACTGTTGTCCTTGGGGTGCAGCATTTCCCTGAGGCACATACAGCAGCAAATCTAGCGAGAGTGATGACCTCTCTTATGTCTCTTATGTATGTATACTCTATTTGTGCTAATAAGTCACTTATAACCTGTTTATTCTGTTTTAGGGAGCAAACTGTGGCAACGTTTTGACACGACATGCCAGCAGACCAAAATCCCAAACATAACTGCCAACGCTACAGTGGAGGTCCAAACATACCTGGGGGAGCCAAATATTCCTCGACTCGAAAGTCCCCTTCAATATTGGGACAAACATAAGTTTACATTTCCAAATTTATATAAACTTGCCATTACATATTTATGTTCACCTGCATCCTCTGTGCCCTGTGAACGGGTTTTTTCAAAGGCAGATGAAATACTGTGCAAAAAAAGAAATCGCCTGAGTCCAAATACTCCTGAAAAATTATTATTTTTGAATAAAAATGAATAACTGTATTGTTTGTTTTTCAACTCATGTCAATAGTTGCATAAGCACTTACATAAACAAAGTAACACAAGCACATCTTACATAACAACTGTCTCCACATCATTGGCTGTATTCTTTCAGCCCATGTTCAGACCCTACCATTTGTTATAGGCCCTTAGCATGTATTACATTTCTTTGTCCACATGATGGCGTAGTGGAGCATGATTCACCTCGAGCCTTCGACTCATGGGCCGAGTAATAGGCTGCGATCCCTCAAGGCTTCATGGGGCTTCATATTGCCATCACTGCTGTTCACGATGTGCACTGTCTGGAAGGCTGTTCAGACTGAACCAGAAGTGTGGGAGGACTGGCCTCTTATTCTCTCTTCCTCTAACAGGATTGGTTGGTAGGATGATTGGGGCTGGTCTCCACCTGTGTGGGGGAGACACACCTGTCTTCTGTTGTGGAACAGCTGGTGATGGAGGAAGGGAGGATGAATAATATTATGGATGTGCAATGGTGGACAGGGAATGTGAGCCATGGGTGTGAATGTGGGTTAACCTTTGGGAGGGATCAGGGTGGACCTTGATACAAAACAAATGGATTGAATTTAATGCTAAGGCGGGATTAAATAATAAAAACTAAAATAATAAAACATAAATTGTTGACATAAATTGTCATGGTGGTCAGGGGTCAAGATGGTTAAAAGAATGGGTAGGTCTAGGTCAGTTGAATAAATGGGTTACGTTTAGGGTTGGGGGTCAGGATAGGGTTGGATAAGTGAGTGTAGGTCCAGGTAAGTATTGTTGGTTAATTTTTTATTAGTTTTGCAGGTCGTTCCCAGTAATTCCAGGTAAGTGGGTTAGGGTGGTCCAGGGTTGGGATTAGGTCATTAAATACATGGGTTAAGTTTAGGGCATAAAATAAATGGGTTAAGATTAGGTCATTAAATACATGGGTTAAGTTTAGGGCATAAAATAAATGGGTTAAGATTAGGTCATTAAATACATGGGTTAAGTTTAGGTGGTTAGATAAATGGGTTATTAGGGGGCGGCAGTAGCTCAGTTGGTAGAGCATTGGTCTTTGAGCCTGAAGGTCGTGGGTTCGAGCCCACCATAAGACCTACTTCACGACTCCCTCTGATGACTGCTGTCGTTGTGTCCTTGGGCAAGACACTTAACCCCACTTTGCCTGAAGCTCCCGCTGAAAGATCTCAGCTCCTGTGGACTCACCACCTGCAGGAGGATCAGTGAGGGGCTGGTGCAAAGTGTACTGGGTACAACTCTGACTGCCACCCTCCCGACCCAGAAATGGATTAAGGGGAAGAAAATGGATGGATGGATGGATGGATGGATGGATAAATGGGTTAAGTTTAGGTGGTTAGATAAATGGGTTAAGTTTAGGGTCAGGGGTCAGGATAGGGTTAGATAAGTGAGTGTAGGTCCAGGTAAGTATTGTGTTTGTTAACTTTTAATGATTTTTACAGGTGAGTTCCGGGTGATGTGTGATTTAATTGTATGTGGGAGGGGCCTTTGAGTGAATTACTGGAAGGGGTCCAAGTTCAGCTCGTGGACCCAATGTTGTAACATTCTTTTAGCTGTTATTTCTGTCCAGTGTATATTGTCCGTCCTGGTTAGGGTTAGAATAGGGGGTAAGAAACCACTCATGGGACCCCCTCCCATAAAGGTTTGAGGGCTCATATCTCAGAAACGGAACGTCGTAGAGCATTGAAACCAAGATGTACCCCCCCATTCCATGAGGTTAACTTTCAAATGGTGCCAGCCTTTCTACTGTGGGACTTTCCATTCTCGCGATATCTGCCAAAAAAACTTTGTTTTTTGTGTATCTCCGTAAACGAAAGTCGTAGAGTCTCGGGACCAAGACTGGCGTGTTCAGAAGACCCGAATTATGTCCGACGGATCGAGGTTTCAAGTCTCTAGGACCTTTGGTTCGGGAGTTATAAACGTTTTAAGTTCCGCATTGAAATGAATGGGACAGCGAGAAAGGCGAAGTGTTGGGGGGAATTTTTTTTTGTCAGAATCACGAAATGAGCACGTTTCAGGTCATTTCAAGTCCATTGAAGACAAAATCTTTAGACATTTTCAAAAATGTCATGATCTTATGTGATGAGTTTTTATATGATAGTGGAAAAAATACTATATTTATAAATATAAGAAACTAAAACAATAACAAAATGTGAGTTTAGAATTATACAAATAACTATTTACAAATATAACAGTTGAAAAGAACGAGGAGAACAATCTGGGAATTATTTGCTTGCTTTTGGCACCCTCTAGTGGCCGCGCCGCGCCAACACACTATTAGTGGCAGCGTGCTCGCACTATAAGAAAAAGTAACTTTATTGAAACTATAGCGATGGAAAACGATGGGAAATACATAACTCAGTGAAACAGGTGATCAGAAAAAGTAGTAATAGATAGGGCCATATTAGCAGACACTATAAACCAGGGGTCCCCAATTAAATTGGCATAGGGTTAGGGTTAGGTTTATGTGTGGGGTCCCGTCTCCAACGTGTGGAGTCGGGAAGTGTACGGGCCCTATCTCTCTGTCCGGGCTGGGCGGTATGGCCAGTGGGCTCTCCCCGGCGACTGCCTGCACGTCCGTGGCGATGTGGACGCTCGCTCTCTCTCTCTCAGGGCCTCTGGTCCACTCACCAGGCCGTCTCCGGGGGCCACGCTCCCACGGGGAACCCCCTCGCCTCTCTCTCCAGCACTCATCCCGGTAATAGTTGTCCTCCCGCTGGCCCCGGGGGGGCCTGCGGTTGTGGCCCCTCCAATCGTGCGTGGGCCGATCATGGTAGGAGTAGGTCCACTGTGGACTGTTGTGAGCGTGTGGTGAGAAGGGGGTCCAGGTGTATTCTGGCATTTGTTTTTGTTTTAATGGAAGACTTTTATTAATTAAAATAGTTGTATAAAAGGTTTAAAACTTCAGATTGCCTCCTTTATATTTATCATTAGACAAATAGAAGACCTT